TTGGTGTGTGGGGTTCTGTGGTTGTGGTTTTTAAGGGTGGGTTGTTTTGTGGGGGGGGAGTGGGTGTGTGGCTTGGGTCTGGGGGGTGGCGGGGTTTTCCCGGGTTGGGGTACCAAAACCCAAACAAAACAAAAACCAAAACCCCCACCCCACGGGACACAACCAAAACCCCACCAAACCTGGGACAGGAAAAAAAACACCAAAAAAACCCACCCAAACAAAAACCCCAAACCCGGAAAAAAACCCAACAACCAACAACACCAATTGGGCAGATCCAAACCCGCACAAACAACTTTATAATACCTGTATAAATGGAATCAGTTGGAAAATGTGTAATAGCCTATTTCATGGAATAGATGGACCCTGTGTATATAGCTAGTTTACCTCGTCCCTGCAATGGACTCAGTATGGTTTTCCCGGTAAAGCCTAGTTATCATGGATAGTACTGGTCCCTTTTTATAAGCTAGATCATGGATCAGTCTGGCCCCGGGATATAGCTAGTTTGGGACTCAGTACTGGTCCTGTGTATATACCCCTAGTTAAAAAGGGGGACTTTAGTACTGGACCCGTGTATAACCCAGTTATATGGACCCGGGACGGACGGAAAAATTTCAGGATCGTATGGCCCCGTGTTTTAAGCCTTTTTTGACGATTCCCCCTTTAAACCTTACACTGCCCCTGTGGCTTCAATGGCCCCGTGTAAAGGGGGGGGACATAAGGTCGCGGTTGCGGCCACAAAAAAAAGGAAGGGAACCCAGGGGCCGGAGAATCTTTTTTTCCAAAAATTTGGTTTCAAATGTCAGGGTTAAAAAGCACCGACTTGCATTTTTGGCGTTTGCCCCTCAAAAAAAAAAAAACTGGAGCAAAAAGAAAGGAAAAAAAGTGGAAGATGGGGGGGTGAGAAAGAGAGGAGGAAAGGGGAGAGGAAAAATTTTGAGAAAAGAAAAAGGAGGGGAGGGGGGAGGATAAAAAAGGGTAAAGGGGAGGGGAGGAGGGAAAAAAAAGAGAAGAGGAGGGGGGGAAAAGAGGGGAAAGGGGAAAAATGGGGGATGGGGAGGGGGGGGGATGAGAAAGAGATGGGGGGAAAGGGGGGGAGGGGTTTTGAAAAGGGGAGTTTTTTGGGAAAGGGGGGTTTGAGAGGGGGGGGGGGAGGAGGGGGAAAATCGGAAGGAGGAGGGGAAAAAAAAGGAGAAAAAGAGGGAAAAAAGGGGGAGGGGTTTTTTCGGAGGGTTGGATTTTTTTTCCCCAAATTTGGTTTTTGGGTAGCCCCCCTCCCCCCCCATTTTTTTGATATTTTTTTTCCCCCCCTAAAATCCCCCTCTTTTTGCCCTTTTTTCTTTTTTTCCCCCTCCTCCCCCCCCTTTTTTGTCCCTCTTTTTTTCCTTTCTCACATATTCCCCCGGTTTTTTTAAATTTTGCCGGATAAATAAAATTAAACCCTCTTTTTTCCCTCCCCTTTCTTTTTTTCCCTCCTCCCCCCTCTTTTCTGTCCCTTTTCTTTATCCCCCTCTCTAAGGGCCCTTTTTTTTAAAAAAAATTTTGGTCTTTTTTTATTGTCCCCTGGGTTTTTCTAAAGAAGGGGGGTTTAAAAAGCAATGAAAGGAGGGAATGACCCCTTTGGGGGTTTAGCCAAAAGAAAGTAACCCCAACACAAACAAAACCCCCCAAAAACCTCAATGGGGTTTATTCAAACCTCCCTTTTGGGCCCTAAAAAATGGCTTTAAAAAAACCCCTTTTGGTAGGGTATTTGAACTGGCCACATTAAAACCAAATAAGGGTTTTGGATTGAAGAAATATTTTAAAAAAGAAGGGGGAACCCCAAAAGGGAGGAAAAAAGAGGGGAGAATTTTGGGATTTAAAACTTTTTGGGGAAAAACCCCCTTTTTTGAACCCTTTTTCTTTGAGAAAAAAATTTACGGTGGTTTTTAAAAAAGGGTTTTTGTCCCCAATAGCAATGTACGGCCTGGGTCTTAGTCATAACCAAAAACCCTATTGGTTTTTTGGTAGTCCCACATAGCAATGCTAAGGGCCCCAGGTCTTTATCATAACCAGAACCCTTTTGGTCTTTCGGTAGTCCCCACCAAGCAATGAAGGCCTGGGGTCTTAGTAAAAACCAGAACCCTTTGGTCTTTTCCTAGTCCCCAAACAAGTCAGGCCTCCGGTCTTTAGTAAAACCCCGTAACCCTCTTTTTCCTGTGTCCCACATGAAATGTACAGGCCTCGGGTTTTTTAGTAAACCAGAACCCTTTTGGTCTGTTTTAGTTCCAATGCAAGTCGGCCTCCGGTCTTTAGTAAAACCAGTAACCCTTCTTGGTCTGTTCTGTATCCCCACTAGCAATGCAAGGCCTCCAGGTCTTTTCATAACCAAAACCCTTTTGGGTCGTTCCGTGTCCCAAAAGCAATGCTGGCCTCCAGGTCTTTGTCATAACCAGGAACCCTTCTGGTTTTTCCCGGCCCAAAGAAATGCTAAGGCCTTTCGGTCTTTAGTCATAACCAGAAC